GTTCGGCTCCTCTTGGAAAGAGCCGATGTTGACCCTAATTTGGCCGACGATGATGGGCGAACACCGCTCCTGTGGGCCGTATATCGTAGGAGAACAGAGGCACTTCAGCTCCTATTAGAAAGGGCAGATGTTGATCCCAATTTGGCCGACAGTGATGGGCAAAGACCGCTCGTGTGGGCCGCGGAAAAGGGGAGAACAGAAGTACTTCAGCTGCTCCTGGAAAGAGCCGATCTTGATCCCAATTTGGCCGACAATTATGGGCGAACGCCGCTCCGGTGGGCTATCAGTAGAGGGAACACCAAAGCAATTCAGCTCCTCCTGGAAAGACCCGATCTTGATCCCAATTTGGCCGACCGTGGAGGGCAGACACCGCTCTTGTGGGCTACGGCAACAGCGAACACCGAAGTAGCTCAGCTCTTCTTGGAAAGAGCCGATGTTGATCCCAATTTGGCCGACAATTCTGGGCGAACGCCGCTCTGGTACGCTGTAGGATTGGCAAACACAAGAGCAGTACTCGTACAACTCCTCTTGGCAAGAGCCGATATTGATCCTAATTTAGCTGTTGACGGTGGCCGGACACCGCTCTCCCAGGCTGTAGGACTTGGGGACACGAAAACAGCTCAGCTCCTGTTGGAAAGACCCGATGTTGATCCCAATTTGGCCGACCATAGTGGGCGAACACCGCTCCGGTGGGCGGTGGAAGGGGGGCTGGCGGCGATGATTCAGCTCTTCTTGAAACGAATCGATACCGATCCAAGCATTGCGGACAACAAAGGTCTAACCCCACTTAAGTGGGCCGCCCGAAATCGGCGTTATAGAATGGTCGGGAAAATGTTAGTCTACCGACCAAGCATAGTTCTCGCAGCCATCCGGTGGAACGGGCGCCATTAAGAGTGTATAATAGCCGCGCTTGCTTCATACTAATGACATCTCTGGATCTTCAAAATGCGGCTTTGTCACCCTCAACATATAACCTTAAGGCACCTTGGATTCCTGGCCCTTCTCCGCTGTTGCGTGCCTTGAGTTTCGCCGGAGGGTGGTGTGGTGGGGGGTGGTAATGACTGGGCCATGGTCTCCTGTCACTGATCCTAATCGTGGGCTTCGTGCTTCTGGAGGAAAATAATGGACCTGTGCTTTCTCGTCATTTTCTTTCATTTTGCTTACCCCCCCTATCTCTAGCTATCTCTTTACTATCTGCACTTATTCCTCTTCATTAACTCACTTCTATGATATATTTTGTTTTCTATCCTACCACGTTTCTTCTTTCGCCCTCGATCGGTGGTCCTCCCATCTTCAATTTATTGTAAAACGACAGCACTTGCCTAACACACCCCCCCCCCCCCGACCTCTTTCGCACGATCCCATTCTCATTGTGTATTGTGCGGTACGTGGTGGATATGATTGTGGACTGTAGAAATTGCAATCGCCCAAACATACCCATGCCTATGATAATCGTATGCGTCATCACAACATAAGCTCGAAAACGAACTCTTAGCCATCCTTCCTGTGATAACCATAAAACCCTAACCCTAAAATGTCATTATATTATATCTCGTCCCGTAATAATGTCGTAGTGTGCTTCTCGGGGGTAACTTACGATATCCTATCGGATCATGCCGCTAATGGGAGTATGGGGGTACTTGACCACCCTCAATCATCCGGCCCTACAAAATTACAGTCGCACCTCGCTATCCCGGACGGCCAAAATCCGAAGAATTTGTCTAGTACAGCGAGGGATCCGGGACAGCGGGTGAGGTTCTTCTGTGGAATAAAATTCAGAGTTCACCGAGATTCATACGGGACAGGGAGGTATCCGGATTATGGAGATCCGGGATAGCGAGGTGTGACTATACTAGTACGCTCTGAGCTGGATATAAGGGATTTCAAATTTATGCGTGATTCTCCCCACACCCCTGCAGACAATCAGCCCACGGAGCTAGTTGCTTTGGTAAGTACCGGTATTAGAAAAGCTATGTCAAGGAATGGAGAGGTGCGGGGCCAGGAACAAAGGATGGAAAAGGGAGAAAATGCAAGCGGACACTGCAGCGATTCAGAAGGATGATAGAGAAAAGGGCGAGGTATATAAAATTTGTATAGAGCAGCGCTGTGGAAACTTCGGGTTGTTAGAATCGAGCCACCGCTCATACCGCCCACCCCGATGATACCCGCAGCGAAACCAACGAAGGATGATGTGTTAGCTTCTTTGCAGAAATACTTAAGGCTACGCAGACTTGCTCCTGGCTGTCTTCAGGTAAAGTTGGCGGGCATTGCCCCTCGCCCGTGGTTTATCTATATCCTACTGAGTGGTCGGCTGCAATTTCCTGAACTTCCGGTCTCCTGGATGGGCGAAAATTGAAATATTCGGGGGGCGAAGGGGAAAATCCTTATTACTGAAATAGCGTGAGGAAAAAGAAAGAATGGGGTACGCTAATTGGGCCTCGCACCGGGAGCTCGATAATTTCCCTCCTCGGATTAGGGGAGGCAGATGCAGCGAATAATCGGGCTTCCAGCCTTCTGATGAGAGTGATAAGGAGGAAATTTATTTTAAAGGTCCGATGGGTGGAGGCTATCGTAATATCGAAGACCAACGAACGAACAGCAAACGAGCAGCGCAACGCCGAATGAACGAAACGAACCGGGATATGAGCGGCGGTATGAAGCAACCCCGCAATGAAACTAAACGAACGAGTGACGGGCTGTGAAACGAACCGCCAAGATCTCTCACGTGAAGGGATCGCACAACTCACATTTAATACCATAACATTTGCAGCTAAACTAACTACAAGCCATATCCCAATCCTGGTAACCAGCTTAAGGGATTACGTCCAAGAGGTAAGCCAACTCCACACCGGCCCAACCACAGTACATCTGGGATTGTACCACCCGCACAACTCGTAGGAAGACCGCATCATTACCTGAACCATCTGGAAACAGGTCGACAGGCAGCCCCAGGCTGGGGCCCGAACCAGGGAGTCATGGCCATTCCCGGTCCTCCCTCCTCCACAAACACCAAAACAAAAAAATTTAAAATACAGTGACACGGGCGCTGTCAAAGACCCCCCCCCGCATTAGTCCCCCCGCGCCACATCGGGCGCACCAATTATCAACGGCGACGATCGGGCTCAGCCACGTTTCCGCCATGTGGCTCAGGCGCCTTCTGTGACGCCACCGTACCGCCAGAGAGTCATCGTGAGCCCCATTCCCCCGCCTGGTCCGAACACAACTCACCCGGTGGGGGAGAAAACTCTTCACTTCGTAAACCTCTATCTATCCCGCGTTCTCCCTGAACACTAACTAACTAACTAACGGTAAAGACAGGAGTATATATCAATGACAAAAACGGCAAAGTCCTAACCCCCCAGGTACGTCTCCCGCATCGCAAACAAGAAACGCTAAAAAGAGAAGACAACCTTCGGCTATCCAGAGCCTCCGGCGCTCCTTATGGCCTTTCCGCTTCCCTTCTAGCTTTTCCGCCACCCTTCCGGCGGATGACCTGCTCCAAGACTTCGGCGCATTCCCGTGGCCAAAGCGCTTTCCCGAGTAGCCAAACCGCATGGTCGATAGCTAAAGTTTGCCCGAAACCAAGCGCGCCCTAATCCAAAGCGCGCTCCCAGAGACTATGCGAAAAAAAAAACTATTGTGAGAGCATGCCAAGCAGCACCTCGCGATTTCCAAAAATTTACGGAGGCCCTTAGCAGGAAACGGCAAGCCCAATGCCTGCCTTCAAGTCGAATTCCAACTGCATCAGTCTAGTTTTTAGACCGCGTTGCTCGGTATGTACCGTAAGATATGTGTGAAGTTAGGCTATCCAGGGTAGGGTGCAAGGAAATACTGTACACCGGCACTTATATTTGCGATACCATCACAATGGTTTTTTCAACTGGTTTTAAGGGCTTTTTAATCTTTTTTCAACATCATGTAGCGTCACTCGTTTGTAACTTGTAGGGGTTTGCTGAGAATTGTGGCTGATCGAACGGAGGTGTCAATTATTATTGCGGACGTTTCAGGGAACTGGAAGGGGTGAGCAACAAAAGAGAATAGAGTTGATCTGATATATAGTGAGTGAGTGGAGCGAAGAGAATGAAAATAGGGAGAGGGAAGCGATGTGTATTGACTGAGAGAAGGGGCAAGCGGATTAGGGAAAAAACTGGGGTGGATCAAACCTGTTGGGCGTTGTTCCGGGGAGAAAAGAACTGAAGAAAAGAAAGCAAACTTAAGATGGAATCCTGTTCACTAGGACCTACAGGTACGTAAGCAGTTACGGCTACCCATATGTGTCCATAGTTCCTTTACGTGATTGTTCTCATATGTTCAACTGCGTTAGAGAGGTTTCGTTGGTTTTTTCATGATTGTTATTGTGGAGTTTGGGGAGGGGGCATGGTTTGGGTGAAACGTGCATGAGTAGTATTATTGCATACATAATAATATATTATTATAGTACTTCTACAGGAGGGTTTGATATTGTGTGGTAGCCCGGAGGGTGTGGCTTCCAACGGATAAGACTAATCCCTAACCCTTCCGCCCCCCGCAGCGGTGGTGACACTGATAGGGTCAAATTTCCCTGGATTAAATTAATACCGGTACCGTATGATACCGATTAGTTTTATTACTTTTATTACCGGTATGGTAAATTATTTCCGATCCACCGGGTATTCCTGAAGCCTGCCCCCCTGTGCCGGTACTGTCATCCACCCCCCCTCCCCAAGCTGCCTCTATCCCCATACAGTAGCGAGAGAACTACGGTAGGTTAGAGTGATGCAACTCTTGCTGGGGAGTGTTTATCAAAATGTAGTAGTACAGTGGAGTACTCCAGAAGTAGGCGATATAATTTCGCAACCGCGGAACCGAAGGAAACAGCACTATACAATGGTCCGATGCCGCCGCTGTGGTCGAGAAGACACCATTACGAGCAAAGGGTTGTGGTGGTGGGGTAATTACTTGTAAACATTCTTCTCTAGAAGGAACCGGGATGGCTGCGTGGCGTGATAGTGTACTTGGGGGCAGCGTAAGCCAGGTTGGGCACCAAAGAGCCTCACCACCGTGGGAACTTTACTCGAGACTTTCACTGCGTTGGCTCTCGATCGTGTCTTGGTGATTGGCTGTTGGGCTATGATTGGTAGGGTTGTAGTCGCGGAATACTCACTCTTGCTTTAGGATACCAGAAGCTTGCCCGACGGTTTTTCAACTGGGGGTTTTTTTTTGTCGGGAACTTCCGAGTCGAAAGTTGTCAGCCTCGGAGTTCCTAACCAGAAAGAAGGTGCTCGAAAGCTCTGGAGGTTATTAACTCTTCTGGTTCGGGTTCTCATTAGCTGATGGGTAAATAGTGT